GGCCTTCCAGTGTGGGGGATGTGGGTTTGATTCCAGCTTGGGGGACTAAGATCCCACCCACATGCCTCGGGGTCAAAACCCCTAAAACACATATAGCAGGAGCAATACTGTAACAAATTCAATAAAGACTTTTAAAAGAAAAAGAAAGTGTAAGCTCATGTAGGAAACCCTCAGTGACAGCTCGCCCTGGGACCTTAGCCTGGAGCTCACGCCGCAGTCCAGCCACAGAGGTCGACCAGCACTTCTGGACACTTGGTGCCCAGACAAAAAGCTTGTTCTGTTACTCGCCTGGCCCTTTATGGGTATCATTATGGTGATACCCTAGCTGTCTCTCCGCTGAGCAGGAATCCCTTCCCGCCTCACCGCGGCCATCCAGCCCAGGCAGGCGGGCACGCCTGCACCCCATGCCCACGGTGGGTCGCCCGACCCCTGGCCCCCAACGGCCTCCTTTCCCCACTGTCCTCGCCTTTCTCTGGGAGCTGCACCACGGGGCCCTTCTCACCGCTTCCCACGGCAGAGCGGGAGAAATTTACCAGCTCCCTGGTCTCCCAACTGCCCTCCTGTGAAGGACAGCTGGCCTCTGCCCCTGGACAGGCGTCCAGCCTTGTTGCGAGAACTTCGACACTCAAGGGCATGGCCCTGAGAACTTTGATGCTATGTTCTCCCGCTCAGCCTGGGCTCTGAGATCTTTGTCCGCCTCAGTTGGAGGCCCCGCCCTCGGGGCACACATCCGCCCCCTTCCTTCCTGTGGTGGGGGCGGGCAGGGGCCCCTGGGTCCAGTCCCTCTCCAGCCGTGTCCTCCATAAAGCTGCCCGGGCACGTCTGCCCACACGCCACCCTGCCCCCTCTGCACGCCCTGGGCAAGCCCCACCATCTGCATCTGATTGCACACCTTTTTGGACCAGTTGAGCGCAATGGTAGTGTGCTCCAGGATAAGTCTATTTCTCAGCAACATCTCTCCTCTGGTCTTACCAACATCAGCTCCTGCACATAACCCTCCTGGCCTCCTTCCACACTCACCTCTCCCTTAAAGGCTGTTCCTCTCTGTCCCCCTCATCTCACGCTCTGCCCTTGAGAGTCCAGGCTGACATGGTCAGACGGCAAGCAGATGGCCCTGCTTGCAGAGCCTGTCCCTGTCCGGTCATCGTGGCCCTGGTTCCGAGTCTGGCCCGACCTCGGCCTGGGTGGCATCACCCAGAGGCCATTCCGTTGCCCTGAGTTCCGCCCTCTGCCCCCGACTCCCGATCACAGTGTTACTGGTGTGGAAACAGTTGCTTTATTATTCATTAATTCATCTTGGGTCTTAGAGTGAAAGTCTTTTTAACCATAGCATGCAAATGTATGTAAATTTATACACTTATGCAAAAATGATATGAAAATATGCCTTTAGATTTTCTGGAAAAAACGTCTGATCACTCTATGAATCCCTCCCTTGTCAACAGCATGACTTTGTAATTCTTCATCCCGTCAGCTCACTGCTCCCTTACTATCTGCCCACACTCAACTCTCTTATCTTGTGCTAACTCATTATTAATATTAAACACATTATTTCTCTTCTTTCTTCTCACTGTATGTGAATTTAAACACATCTCTGAAGGCTGAAACGATTAGAAAACTGTCAGTTTTTGCTGGAGTTTCATGTACATTTCTGTTGTCAAGTCTGACCTTATGTTAACTTAAATGAAAACCATCTGCCTCCAAGTCGTCAATGCTTTTTTAACAATATTACTGTGCTTGCATTTCTCTGCAGTCGTGCCTCTGCTATTAGCTGGGCTGGTGGAGGGGGCCGGCACACATCACCACGAACCTGCTCTCACAGGGAACAAATGACCCTTCCCCAGGGAGCAAGCTCACACCCCTGACTGGGAACCATTCTCCGCGTTTATCATCGGCCTCTGGTCTCCACCTGTGACACAGAACGCGGCTTCCTTCTCTCCGGGCGGCTCCCTCCGCCTGCCCCCTGCTCCTCTCCTCTTTCTCCCAGCATCAGGGCTGACCCAGACACTCTTTCTGCCCTCCGGGTTTTGCCACGGGCAGACTGCAGTCTGCCTGCAGGCAATTGCTTCCTTTGGAACCCCTTGGCTGGATCTTTTGCCGCTCAGGTTCTTCAAACTCCTTCTAGTGCTGACCGCTGACCCCTGGCCTGGCCGGCCAGGCAGGCCTCCCTGGTGCCCCCATCACTGCACAGCCTGCTCCCTGAGAGTCAGGTGGCTGCCAACACTCACGTCTGTTTCTGCCTCCTCTGCCACCTAAGTCTAGAGCCCTGACTCTTCCTTGGGGTGTGACCTGGTGAAAAGACAGCCTCGTCTCCCTGCTGCCCCTTCGTCTTACTGCTTCCTAATCTTTTCAGGCCCAGATGGCCAGTGCTTAGTCGCCTGGTCAGGTCTGACTCTGCGACCCCATGGACTGTGGCCGCCAGGCTCCACTGTCTATGGATTTCTCAGCAAGAACACTGGAGTGAGTCGCCATGCCCTCCTCCAGGGGATCTTCCCGACCCAGGAAATGAACCCGGGTCTCCCGCATTGCAGGCGGAGTCTTTACATCTGAGCCACCAGGGAAGCCTGTCTTCACTGAGTGGCTGCACCCCAGTCTAGCTTCCATGCGGACAGAAGCAGAACCTCTTACCACTCGACACGCGATGTCGGCTCCTGTGTTTTCACTTGTGTCTGGGTCTAAGAACATGCTTCTCTCTGCAGCGGAGGAAGCTGAGGCGCAGAGGGCGTGAGTAACTTGCCCAGGGTCCCAGAGCTAGTGACTGACAGCCCCGGGGCTCCTGCCCAGGCCTCCAAAGTGTGTGCAGAGGCCAGCTTCCTCCCTTCCTGCGCCCAAAGCCAGAGGAACACTTTCCTGTGCAGCTGGGGAGGGAGGCAGGAAGGACAGGGTTGTGACGTTTCAGGGCTGGGGGGCCCGGGTTCCAGGGGCTGCCCCTCCACGGGCGCCAGGAGGCCTGGCAGCAGGAGGGGAGCCTGCCCTTAGCTGCGGCGGGGCTCCCACTCGCTAGGGCTGGCCTGAGCGGACCCAGGCCAGCGTGCATCACCAACTAGGTCACCAAGAAGGAGCTGGCCCAGCCACCCTCTGAGAGCCATAATGACCACAGTCACAGGGCAATTTCGGACCACGAGAGTCTAAACTAAAATCTGCAGGCGTGTGGGACTAGCCTGCCTCCAGCCTGGCTGGTTTTTGAACATATCAGGATGCATCGAGCAATCTTGTTGTTGTTAAGCTGCTCAGTCGTGTCCAGCTCTTTGTGATCTCATGGACTGTAGCCGCCAGGCTCCTCTGTCTATGGGATTCTCCAGGCAAGAACACTGGAGTGGGTTGCCATTTCCTTCTCCAGGGCATCTTCCTGACCCAGGGATGGAACCCATGTCCCCTGCATTGTCAGCTGGATTCTCTGCCACTGAGATGTCTGCAGGGTTTATTATTATTATTACAGTTTTCTACTGGTGAGACCCCTCAGGCAGCTAATGCCTCCGGGCCGGAGAAGGCTCAGCCATGGCTCTGGATCCAACAGGCAAGGCTCCTCCATCACCTGGCCCTTGCTCAGCAGTGCTCCCGGCCTGGGCCCGCGGCCGCCCCTTTCAAAAGGGAACGCGCCCGGCATTTGTCAGGGAGCTCAAGTGTCCTGACAAGCTCCAAAGGTGAAACTGAAAACCTTCCTGGTGCGATTTTCCTATTTGATCTTTTGTCTCATGTGTTCCCCTTGGGGATGAACAAGAAATACTTCTCTGAATAATTTATAGGCCCCAGGGTAGAAACACACTGCCTCTTTTTAATAAAAAAGCTGGGTACATGGCCTTGATTATACCTCTTCTGTGATACTTCAGCAAAGGTTGGGATATCTCAAAAGCTCTTTACAAATTCCTTTTAAAATAGTGAGACAAAGATAAAAGCCATGTAATGTTTTTAATCAAACAAACGAATGTTTGGATAATACATAAGATTATTTATAAAGCTGTATTGAGCTATGAAAAGTTCATACAGGGAAGCTGAAAAAACTGAACAGCTGTAATTATTGTAAGGTCCAATTTATTTTTAAAACTGAAAATGACTGTCTTTGGTTTTCTGTTGAATGAGCACCTCCTGGGTGCCAGGGCTCTGCTGGGCTCATCATGTGGATCAGTTCACGGAGTTCCCACGAGGGAGCTGGGTAAGGAGCGGCTCAAGGCACAGAATCGCCGAGGCTCCTGGGGGTATGTGACCAGCTCACATGCCCCAGGACCACAGACGGGGCTGAACTGGAGCCAGAGCTGACTCAGAAGCGTATGTCCCACGGTCCCTAACGCTGAGCGCCCCGGCCTTCCGTTGAAAACCAGTAGATGCTGCTCAGTTCTGTCTACATTTTGCGATGTTACTGCGAGCAACGGCGGGAGAACGGAGCCTTTGGGACCCTCTGCAGAACATTTTACTTATTGGTTGCAAAACCATCTCCCCTTAGCCCTGGACAGAAACTCATGGCCTCTCTGGGTGCAAGCTGAATGTTTTCATTTTACAGGAGGCTGGGGTGACTTACCTGGGTCCTCGCAGTGCAGGGAGGCTGTCCCCCCTCCTCTGACCAGATGTCGCTGCCACCCTGTGGCCTCTGGGACAGGCTGGGGTCTTGGCTCCCTCTAGGTAAGGGGCCCCCGAAAATGTAAACTGGTTTGACTTTTGTCCTGCAGGCTCCCCGGGCTGTGGGCACCCCCAAGGGGGCTGCTACCAACAGCGTGGAGATCAATATGACCATGATGGCGCCCAGCGTTGCAAGAACGCGGTTCGTTAAGCCCGCGGCCACAGGGTGGCTTGGCCAGCTGGCCCGAGGCCTCTGACCCAGACTCTGCCCTCACACGGCCCAGGCGCCCAGGCGGGCTGTGCGCTGCCCACTCCTAGGAGCTCCACCTGCGCAGACCACCGCGGGGACGGCCCACCTGGACCCCCCGGCCGGCCAAGTGCCTTCGGACCGAGCACCCGGGCTGGAGGTCCAGAGCTGCCGCCGCCCCCGGGGGCGCCCCCAGACTCACCAGACGCTGCATGCTCTTCACGTGCGTGGGGCTGATGGACAAGGCCTCCTCGTACCACCGCCGGGCCTCGTCCGCGCTCCCGCGGAGCTCCGCCACCTGGCCGCGCATGTAGAGGACGTTGTGGGACATGGGGAACAGGCTGGCGGCCTCCTGCGTGCAGGCCGTGGCCTCCGCGGGCTTCCCGATGCCGATGTAGACTTCCGCTGTGAGAACAAGAGCACAGGCAGATGCGCCCGGGTCGCGGCCCCCAGACGGCCTGCAGATGGCCGGGGCTCGGGCTGCGACGCGGACCTCCCCTGGAGGGCAGGACAGCGGCCAGTCCGGGAAGCCCAGGGCCCAGAGCCAGCCCCAGCCCAAGTGCGTGCAGCTGGGTGGCAGTCCTTCCTGCCCCCGATGCAGGCACGCGAGTCACGGTCACGGGGCCTCCGAGGACACGCCTGTCACCGCCAAGAGGGGCCTGAGGCTTGCCGGGCCCACTGACCCCGGAGGACACCTGCCCCCGTAGGACTCCTCCCCCAGGGGACTCCTCCCCCAGTGGACTCCCCCCCCAGGGGACTCCCCCCCCAGGGGACCCCTCCCCCAGGGGACTCCCCCCCCAGGGGACCCCTCCCCCAGGGGACTCCCCCCCCAGGGGACTCCTCCCCCAGGGGACTCCCCCCCCCAGAAGACTCCTCCCCCAGGGGACTCCTCCCCCAGGGGACTCCCCCCCAGGGGACTCCTCCCCCAGAGGACCCATCCCCCAGAGGACTCCCCACTCAGGGGACTCCCCCCCCAGGGGACTCCTCCCCCAGAAGACTCCTCCCCCAGGGGACTCCTCCCCCAAGGGACTCCTCCCCCAGAGGACTCCCCCCCGCCCAGGGGACTCCCCCCCCAGGGGACTCCCCCCTCCAGGGGACTCCCCCCCCAGGGGACTCCTCCCCCAGGGGACTCCCCCCCCCGAGGACTCCTCCCCCAGAGGACTCCCCCCCAGGGGACTCCTCCCCCAGGGGACTCCTCCCCCAGAAGACTCCTCCCCCAGAAGACTCCTCCCCCAGAGGACCCCTCCCCCAGAGGACTCCCCACCCAGGGGACTCCCCCCCCAGGGGACCCCTCCCCCAGAGGACCCCTCCCCCAGAGGACTCCCCACCCAGGGGACTCCCCCCCCAGGGTACTCCCCCCCCAGAAGACTCCTCCCCCCCAGAGGACTCCTCCCCCAGAAGACTCCTCCCCCAGGGGACTCCTCCCCCAGAGGACTCCTCCCCCAGGGGACTCCCCACCCAGGGGACTCCGGTCCCCAGGCCCACCCGGGACACCGGCCCTCAGGTCTGACGTCTACAGAAGGGGGGCTGGCTGAGCCCAAGGGTGGGCCAAGTGAGGTGCACAGCCCCTCGGCGGGCAATGACGCTGCCTCTCGGAGGGTTCTTCTGAAGCCCGCAGGCGTGACAGGGACCACGGGTAGAGGCTGACACGCCTGTGGGTAAGAAGTCAGATGGCTGCTCCGCCCAAGCCCGGCCTGAGCTGAACAGGAAAGCCACCGCACGTGAGGACTATAATCCGAGACCCCACGCTTTGAGACCCCAGGCTGCCACTCTCCAAAAAGCAGCCTCAGGGCTCCCTCGTCTGCACAGCGGGCCCAAGCCTCCGTAGCCCCGGCCTCTCTGAAGAAGACCCTCCTGGACCCCCAAGTCCATCAGGCCTGTCAACTCCCGGGGGCCCCGTGGGCACGGCCCCCCAGCTCTCCAGCCGCAGGCCTGCGTCATCAAGGACGCCAGGCTCCCCGTCCGTCTCAGCCACGTCCGTGCAGACGCTCGTCGGTCCATCCCTGCTCGGGGGCCTGCTGTGCCCTGAGCCCTCTGACGCCTCCTCCCAGCTCAGGGCAGCCCCATCCCTTCCTCACCTGCTCCTGCCCTGACCACTGCCCTCTGCCCTGGCAGAGAAAGCTGTTTCTGTGCCCGTATCTCCAAGCTCCACACATACTAATATCTTGTGTAGAACCGGATGCACACAAGACTAGGAATGATGGAAGTACGCAATGGAAAAGAACTAGAAGACGTCTACATTTTCTGCCGCACCTTGGGCGTCGTCTCCCGGAGGCGAGGCCTCCTCCCCGCTCCTGTCTCCCCTCAGCCCCTCTGTGCGGCCTGCACGGTCGCTGCAGACCAGCCTCCCTGGCAAAGCCCTGGTGGGTCACCCCTTCCTCAGGGTCTCCCGCTCCGGGCACCCCTCAGCCTGCAGCCTTCCCTGACCCCTTCACCAGGGCTAAATTCAGGTGAAAGAGAGGAACAAGGGCCTTCTGAGCTCGTTAGCAGATGCAGGCCTGGGGAGTCTCGCCCCTTGAGTGGTGAGGGGGTCTCCTGACCAGGGGGCCTGGCCTGGGATGCACCCGCAGGCCCCCGGGTGCCCGGTGTCCCCGTTCCTGCATCAAGCTTCGGATACTAGTCAGGCTCCTGCTCGGTGTCAGCTGTGAGGCTGAGAACTGGCCCCATGCTCTGCCTCGGGCTCCGCACCACGTGGAGGTGCCGGGCGAAGGGGTGGTCGCTGACCAGCCCAGACCTCACCGGCCAGCCGTGCGCCTGGCGCAGGGCTGCGTGTCCCTTGGAGACGGAGACGCTCCCCTCAACGAGGTGCCTGCTCCCCGGGGCTCTGGCTGCCCACGGGCACTTCTCTGAGACCGCAGGAGGGCCGCTCCTGGTGCGGATGCCGTCAGACCCCCTTCTGCCGTCCCTGGCAGGGACGGGGCAAGGGAAAGGCGCGTGGGCACCAGCTTCCCCTGGGTCCTGCGGGCCCCCTGACCCCTCCAAACCACTCCTTCACCCCAAACCCTGCTTCCCCAGGGAGAGGCGCTTCGAGCCTGGGAAACAAGCTGGGCAAGCCGGTGTTGGCTTCCTGGGCAGCGCGCGGGCTCCGCTGCCTTAGTGAATCAGCTGTTTCACGTGGAAATTGCATGAGGGTCAGGAGGACAGAGGTCCTGCGTACCGACGCGCTTCCTGCCCCCCGGCAGAGTCACCAGGCCTGGGGAGGCCGCCACCCTTATCAGCTCCCACGGAAGGCCCTTTGTTGCTTCTGCTTTGGGGGGCTCGGGAAGGGGAAGGAGGCAGGGGCTCTGCTTTCATGGGTGAGTCCCAGCCCTGAGCTCTTCTGGGACCCCCACTGGACCTGCCATCCTCGCGAGGAGTGCAGCCCACGTCCTGCCCTCGCAGAAGCCCCGTCGGGGTCCTGCTGTGCATTTGACATTTGTTTCCGAGCTTGCAAACGGCTGCGTCCACTGTCAAGGGCGACCCCTTCACATCGGCGACGGTGAGAGTAGGGGCCGTGTTTCACCGCGTTTGTGACACAGCTTGTCCCTGGCCCCGGTGGTTCCCTAAGTCCCTGCTGCTTCCTGAACCTCTGACCCTTAGGCTGACCCTGACTTGCCACCTGAGGAACTGGTAGCGGCCGGCAGGGAAGCCCCAACCTCCTCCTCCTGGCCCCTCAGGGGTCTCCCTTCCAGGACTGTGCCCCCACCAGGGCGGCTCTGTCCCCAACACTCCGCTCACACATGTATCCCTGTCACCAATGCCCAGATGCCAAACCCAACACAGCCTCCTGTCTCCTCCTTACCCACCCTCTCAGCACCTCCTAGCTCCTACGGCCACTGAAAACTCACTGCTTCACAGAGGGGAGAGGGCAGGGGAAGGGCAGGCGACTGAGATGCACGGACTAGTAGGGATGAAAGAACCTACGAGGATATATTGTACAACACGGGGCTACGGGGGACATTTGATAATATTATGGAGCATATTATAATATGACATACAATTAATATATATACATACTATATAATATAGCATATATTCTTATAATATATACAGGTATAGTGAGCGCAGGTGTATATTATATGCATAATATATACACACGCACAGTGCGTGCATGCTCAGTCGTGTCTGAGTCTTTTGAGACCCAAGGACTGTAGCCCGCCAGGTTCCTCTGTTCTCAGGATTCTCCAGGCAAGAATACTGGAGCAGGTTGCCCTGCCCTCCTCCAGGGGATCTTCCCCACCCAGGGATCGAACCCACGTCTCATCATCACTCTTGCATTGCAGGCGGGTCCTCTGCCACTAGCACTACCTGGGAAGCCCAGTATGGTACACAGCATACATTATTTATCATACTTTATTTTATACATGGAGTGTAACCTTTAAAAACACAAGAAAAGTACACGGTTGGTTTAGAAATCGTCATCCTAGAAGCTCCCGAGTGATCGCTGCTGGCTGAGCAGGCTCATGCGTTACCACCTGTGATTGTCATGATGGTGTCACTTTGCAGGGAGAGCAGCAGGGCTGGGGAAGCGGGTCCCGGCAGCCCGCGGCAGGGCCGGGGTCTCGGTGAGTCCGGCCTGGGACCCAAGCCCCTGGGTTCCGCACAGGCCCCTCTGCAGACCCCTGGCTGCACAGACATCACTGCCCCCCACCCCCCGCCCCAGCTTCCCCCCATCTTGCTGACCCCTCGCTTGCCACTGATTTGGCTTTCCTCTCCTCCCCCATTTTTTGGGGGTGCTACACTGGATCCCAGTTGTGGGGTGAGGGCTCTCCAGTTGCAGCCCACAAGGTCTCAGGTGTGGCCTGTGGGGTCCAGTTCCCTGACCAGGGATCGAACCAGAGCCCCTGCATCGGGAGTGTGCAGTCTTAGCCACTGGACCCCCAGGGACGTCCCTTCAGGCCTGGGCCCTGCTGTCCCTTTCTCCATCAGCATTCCCTCCCAGGCCTTCTCCTCACCTTCCTTGCCTTTAAAACGCCATTCACGACTTTCTGTTTCCAGCCCAAACCTCAAGCAAGGCTTGAATACCCACCTGTTCCCCAGACCCAGGCCGCCGCGGTGGGGAGCAGAATCATCACCACCACCGACTCCTGCACCCGGCCAGCAGCAGCTCCTCCATGGATACACCTACCAGCTTCCCCCGGAAGACACCTCAGGCGTCCCCTTCCCTCCGCCCAGAGCCCCCGCGGTCTCAGGAACAGCGCTCCCGGCCCGCCCCGCGTGGCCCCCGCCCGCCCTCCGCAGGCCGGGTCTGATAACGCCCCCTCTGGTCCCCTCACGTCCCGCCTGCGGCCCTCGGGAGGAGACCCTGGCCTCACCCGCGGTCTCGCCGTCTCCGCTCCGCGCTCTCGCGCCCGCGGCCTGCCCACGAGCGCCCTCCACCCCCGCGTGCCCGGGGCTCCTCCTGGCCCGGATACCTCCCTTCTCAT